TGAGAGTGCATTCTCTTGGGAATAAATTCAGAATTTGACACATAAGGCTAATGCCTCTTTTGCCCACAAGTCCCAAACCAGCTTCCTCTTCCTCAGGTGGACCTCATACATTAAATCAACGTGGGGCATATCTTTCCAGACTCTTTTTCGTATTTACATTCATATGTGACCTTGTAGAGAAGGTATTGTAGCTTTCTCTTGAAGATTTGGAGGGCCTTGTTTTTAAAAACTTTTTATTTGGACATAACCTCCAAATTACAGAAAAGTTGCAAGAATAGTGAAGACCCTCTATACTTGGACTCCTTACCTGACTGACAAGTTGTTCATTTTTTTGCCCCATTTGGTTGATCATTCTCTCTAGAAACTATTGTTATCTGTGTGTATATATTTTCTCAGCCCTCTGAGCTGGAATCATGGTTGTCATGCACCCCTAAACACTTCAGGGTGTCATTCCCAACGACTGGGACCTCCTCTGACTGATGCATAGGACGGTGACCCAGAGTCAGGGCACGTAGCATTGTCCCCGTGCTGGTACCTGGCCCAGATCCAGACATCATCAACTGAACCACGATGTCCTCAGACCTTTTTCTTCAACAGGGAGGCGTTATACCGGCACCATCTGTCTCCACCTTGTTCTTTTTTTCAGCACCTGAGTGCATGTAGGTAGCCTGATGTTACTAACGCAGCGTTTGACACGTGAATATCTCTAGATTGCTTATCGCTTCTTTTGTTGATGGGCATTTGTGTGCCCTACCTCTTGTCATGGGAACCATCCTCAAACAACCGAACGGTAGAAGGTATCGCTTTGAATAACCCTTCTGGGGACACGTAGTGAGGATGATTGAAGACGCATCGTGTGCCTTCAAAAGGGGTTTGTAAAGAGAAGCTCCTGGTCCACACTGTGTGAGATAAATGCGTCAAAGCAGCAGTTATTCTGACTTTTCCAATAGATCCTAGAATTGTGGGGGTGGGGGTGGGGGTGACTAGGAAAGTTCTTGGTGAAGAACAATTCTTGGGAAAAGAGTTCCCATTCGAGCTGCCTTTTCATGGAAGCAGCTCTGCCTTAGGTCACGTGTCACCAGCATGCAGAGGCCTTGCTGGCCCTGAGGACCTGAGGACGGAAACAGACAGACCGTACCCCACCCAGCTTCACGTCCTGGGAAAGCCATGCTCTCCGGGCCAGGACGCTTTTCTCTCGTCCCTTTCACGAACCGCCACCTGGGGGGAGGATGCTGTTTCCGCCTTGTGTGAAGCATTTGGTACCATCTGGGCTGGCTGCGTTTCCACCAAGATAGTAAAGAAACACTTATCAGGAAAAACCAAAGCCGCTGTCACCAAGTGTGGCCGAGAGAGACTAGCTTCCTCGCTACACTTGCGGCTCCCTTGCTGCTGGGAACCATAACTCGACTCCGAAACCCTTCAGGACTGGGCAGGCTTTTGGCTCTGAGCCTGCAGCGCTGGCAGTGGCTCGGGATACGTGGTTTTAATAGCCGCAGCTCCTGGAGGTGTGAGTGGCAGCAGACCCAGAACCAATTCCATCCACTCCGTTCCTTTCCACGGAAACTTCTGGCCCCTTCGGGAGAGGACAGACCCCAAAGGACAGAGTAGAAGAAAGAGCCTATGGGGGGGGGGTGGATGGAGTCGTGCCCCAGGTAGGACCTTTTGGCTCAGCGGAAGTGGGTGCCCGAGGAGAACGCATCTGAAACCATTAGTCGTGAGATTGGCTCAAGAATGCAACATGTGCTTGTTGTGCAAAGCAGATTTTGGAAGAGCTATGAAGTCATAAACTTACAATGGACAGATATTCTCCCGGTGATTGTCCTGTGGGCTCACTTCATAAGATGGTGAAGGCGTGTGGCCTTCACAGAGAGAAGGAAGATGTGCCTGTGTGCTGCCAGCCCACCAGACAAGCTCCTGGCAGCCACTTCAGGGCTCCTCAGATCGTGTTTTGATGCGCCTGACTCCGTGGTCGATGTGTCACCCCGAGGTCCCAGCCTAGAAACTGGCGCCTGCTGTTAGTTTCCTTGGAAGGCTCAAGAAATGAGATTGTGTCCGATGGGGAAAATGCATGGGCATCCTCAGAAAGTAAAGCATGTAGAAAAGCTTTACGCTAAGGTGTGCTCGACGGGCCACCAGCATGAGCCCCACCTGCGATCCTGTTCGAAAAACAAATGAATGGATCTCACTCCAGACTCACTGTATCCGCATCTTCCTGTGGGTCCCAGCCCTTCCGGGTGACTCTTCGGCGGGTGCGGTGGACATGCTGTCCTCCGGGAGGGTTCAGATGGCAGGTCAGCTGCATTATTCTCAAGAAGAGAATCCACAAGTCATTCTGTTCTATGTTCATCCATTCAGAAATGGTTACGTCTTCATAATAAACGTACACAAATGCAATCATAAAGGGCGCTGAATAGGAATAATAACAATGAAAATAAAAATAATGAAATTGACTATTCCCTAGGTGCCAGGTTCTATGCCAAACACATATATTCTTTATCCAATTGGGCTCTTGTAACAGCCCAATGAAGCATGTCGTTCCTCTGTTTTATTGGTCCAGAAACTGAGGTTCAGAGATGTGGATTCGTGGGGGGCAAGGTGCAGACCCTGGCATCTTGGAGCCCTGTTTCCACAACTCTGTGCGACCTGCCTACTGTGTCATTAGAAATCCACTACACGTGGAATAAATTTGGTTTTCTGTATTCCTTGGGGGCAGGATCAACGTCTTAGGTTGTCCCCAGTGTCCCCAGCACCTAGCAGGATGCTTAACACATAGTAGAGACCTACTTGTTGAACTCAAAGGCAAAGAGGAATCAGTGCCGTTCCATGTAGGTGCCACTTGCAAGCTGAATGGGAGCGTGCCTCCCGCTGTGGATAAGTGGGAGAAAATGCCAGCACGCTAGTGGGTACACAGATGCCAGTGCAGAGCAAGTTACAGCTTGCGTCCTCGGCTCCCCTGTCGCTCACCTGACAGCCAGCCAGCCCTTTTCTCATCTCATTCATTCAGTCCCAACCCCGTACTCGCTCCATGATCTTAGTCAGGCAAGTCAGGTGGGTTTGTTTTGTTGTTGTCCTCCAGCAATGGTCAGCTGTTTGGATGTAGGGAAATACAGGGGAAGGTATTTGAATTTAACTCCCAGGGCTGGGGCTTTGCCGAATAAATAAAATGGAAAGAAAGAGGGGCAAACGGAGTTGAGGGTGTTTTCAAGGGCGTGATTATAAAGCCCCATAAAAAATCTAAGCTGAGTGAATGGAATAAAGGCACGCGCGGGTGGGGAGACAGAGAAAATTTATTGGGCTTGATAGACTGCTGGTGGAAGACTTGTTCAAGTGCAGTCGTCGAGTTAATGGGCTGGGAGAACAGGAAGTGGCTGAAGATCTCGGGGTCCATGAAACTCCGAATGAGAAAGTGGTGGCATTTCTGGGAGGTAAACTCCCGGGATAAGGTGACGGATGGGGTGGAAGCAAAGGTTGCCGGACATAAGGGGGAGTGCTTTGTCCCCTACGATGCAGTGTTCTGTTTCTCTTGTTGTATTGCACTTACGGGGACGGTTAGAATTAATGTTGAGTAACGGCAGTGAGCGTGGCTATCTCTGTCTTATGCCCGACTTTAATGGGATCACAGTTATCTAACGATAAACTGTGGTGCTGTTATGTCAGGGAGCCTTTATCCTGTGAATGAAATTAGCTCTGTCTAGCTAATCGCAGTGATCCCGTGGTTTTTCTCTTTTGACCTATAAATATGATGGCTATTTTAACAACGGATCTTCTAAGGTTGAGCCATCTTTGCATTCCGGCTAGGAGTCATGATATATTAGCCATCTAGCTGATAGTTTGATTCGATCTGCTACTATGTTACTTCGGGTTTTTCTATCATAAGTGAGATGTAGGCGCTGTATCCTTAAGACGCACAACTCCTGTTTCCTCATCGCCTTCCCTGGGCTACTTCCCGTTACTGGTGTTTGAATCGACTCCTCAGTAACTTCCTCCTGTTTCTCCAGGCTGATGCCTTATTCCACCTCATCCTTAAAAGGGCCAGTTGCACCCTCTGCTTCCTGACCCTCTGTTTCCTCTCCTTCTCTAAGCTGGTCTTAGAGACTCCTTTATGCTGGGTGTTCATGGCTGAGGCGGAGCCAGTATTTTCCCAGACTTCTCGCCCTGGGCTGTCTGGGTCCCAGGCGTGGTGCAGCATGGACGATGGCTGCACCTTAGCGTATAAGGCAGCTTTTTCTCTTTTAGCTTTTTCTTACTGACTTGAGGTAAAATTCACATCCCATAACATGAACCATTTCAAAGTGTACGGTTGAGTGGCATGTGTACATTTTCAGTGTTGTGCAAACGCCCTCTCTCCCTAGTGCCGAGAGACTTTCACCCCCTGTAAAGGAAGCCCCGTACCCATGTAGTGGTCACTCCCCGGCTGCTGGCAGCTGCTCGTCTGCTTCCTGGGTATGGATTTACCTGTTCTGGAGGTTTCCTATAAGTGGAATCACACAGTACGTGAGCTTTTATGGCAGGGTCCACGGAGGTTCAAAGCAGCACTACTCACAATAGCCAAAAAGTGGAAACCACCCAAATGGCGATCAGCTGATGGCTGGTGAACAAAATCTGATGTATCCGAGCAATGAAATATTATTCAGCTATAGTGAAGCAGTGACACATGCTACGATGTGATGAACCTTGAAAACATGATGCCAAATGAAAGAAGCCAGCCTGCCTTGTAGCCGTGGTGGCAAGCAGGCTGAGGGAATTTACAGTTACTCTTGGGGGCAGCGTGGGGAGAGCAGAATGGAAATCAGAAGTCAATTTTACACCAATGGAGAGCAGAGCCCACATCTCCATTTATCCCACTTTGGGGGCTCCTTAGCGATTGATGTTAATGAATTAAAATTCCCATTAAGTAAGCGTGACGCCAGGGACCCTTTCACAGGCTCTATAGCCGTCGCCGGTGGGCGCCTAAACATTTTGGGGGCCTTGAATGCTGCAACTGCTTTTTCTTTCTCCAGTAAGAGATGCCAAAAACCTTGTACCCATGGACCCCAACGGCTTGTCAGATCCTTACGTGAAACTGAAGCTCATTCCTGACCCCAAGAGTGAGAGCAAACAGAAGACCAAAACCATCAAGTGCTCCCTCAACCCGGAGTGGAATGAGACCTTCAAATTGTGAGTTGACATTATTGCAGCCCAGCACAGGGGTGGGGGTGGGAGTGGGAGTGGGGGGGGGGCTGAGATCTGGAAGTTCCTCCCCCAGCTTCTATTTCCTTCCCTCCCAGTCTCCTTCCCTCCCTCCCTTTTTTCTTCCTTCTTTTTCCTCCCCATCCATCTGCATTTTTGCATCGCAAGCCAAGCAAACACTGGAGCCTACTTTTTTTTTTTTTAATGGAGTTGAGACTGTCCGTGGCGTGGGGGAGCGGGCGGAATGGAAAATAGTGCGATGTGTTGCCAGCTGAAGGCGTGTTGTGAGAGGAGACTCTGGGTTCAGCAGTTCTGTAGGGCCGAGTGGAGGGAGAGAGCTGAGCCTGCAGCCCCCTGGGAGCTCCCTGCCATCGTCCCATGGAGGGTCTTCCCAGGCCGGAGCTCCAAGAACCTGGGATCACTTTTGGATACACCTGGGCCAACAAATGTTAGTGATGTTGACCAGTATTTATTGAGCATGTACTATGCATAACAGGCACTGAAGCACGTCATCTGGCTTCCATGGTCATTTTACCAATGGGGCTGAAAGAACGTGGCTGAAATCCCACAGCAAATACAGGGTGGAGTGGGGTTCAGCCTCAAGACAGCCTGACTCCAGAGGCCACGGGCCAGAAGCGTGATTCCTTGGGGGGATCCCCCATCCCTTTTTTCCTCTCTCAGGGCGAATCGGGGGGCCCCTCTCGGCCTCAGCACCGACAACTCTTCATAGAATTTCTCAGCCTCACGTGAACCCACGTGTGTGCAGACACCCACAGTTATGTAACTGGCACCCACGTTTCTTATAGTGACTGTGTCTGTAGGCTTTGCAGAACACCATGGGCCCTTATGAGACAGAAGGCAGCAGAAGTCGTCAGAACCGGCCTGGCCTCCCTCACCCCCCAACTCCTGTTTAAGCCACAGGCTTGTCAAACAGGAAAAGCTCTTGGTCCCCGGGGAGCTCGCCTGTGCTGGAAATGGAATATGTTTCTTGCAACAGCTTGTCATCTTTAAAAAGCCCTCCCTTCCGACCTTGTCCTCTTGTACGTTTCATCTGCCTGAGAGAGCACAGTAACCTGCCCGGCGCCTGTCTTTTCTCTCCCGACAGCCAGCTGAAAGAATCGGACAAGGATAGAAGACTGTCTGTGGAGATTTGGGACTGGGACCTGACCAGCCGCAACGACTTCATGGGGTCTTTGTCGTTTGGGATCTCTGAGCTGCAGAAAGCTGGCGTCGATGGCTGGTAAGGGAGGTTTGGCTTTGAGAGCCGCAAGAAGCGTGGCCCGTGCAACATGGGACCAAGTACGCCTTCCTTTTTCCCTGCAAGGGGAACAGTAAAGCAGAGTCACAAAGTGATGGCTGGTGCACTGGAGCTGCCCCACAGATAGGCTTTATTTGGTCCTCGTACTGAAAGGGGGAGAAAAGGATTAGTTGCCAATATTTTAAGAAAATCAGGACCTTTCCCATAAAAACCTAGACTTCTGGCTTGAAAAAGTAGAAAAACCTGGGCACACTGGGCCCGATCAGTTAATGTTCTCTTTAGACAGGATTTTCTGTTTGCCACAGTCCCCACTGCTCCCTATTGTCTCACACCTGCTCCTCTGACATAATTATGTGACGTCAGGGGCCCCTCCCAGGCACTAACTGGCTCTCAGAATTTACCCTCAAGATGCGTGCAGCTCACTGTCAGATTTCGACTTCGTAAGACGCTCCTTTGCTGGGACTGCTGCTGACCTGGCCACACAGGTGCTGGGGGCTTGCTGTCAGGTCAGCTGCAGGGCTTCCTTTGCTCTGGAGTTTCTGCTTTGCCCCCTTCCTATGGCAAAAACCCTTCCCCAGTGTGCCCAACAAAGGGCGGGGTGAGCCCCGTGGGCAGCCCTGTGTTTCGGTTGTCAGAGTCAGCCCAGCCTGGCACTGCAGCTTTGGGGCAGTAGGCACAAGCGGCCGCTCTGGCCTCTTTAAGGCAGACTGTCTCGTTTTGAGCTTTCTCACTCAGGGCTTTTTCAGTGGCAAGCAAAAGACAGTCAGAATCAAACTGGTTTAGCAAGAAAGGCCGGATCACCCCGGCCACGCAGCCTTTCCATCAGTCACCTGCACATTCCTGGCCTCTCCTCCATATTTATCCCAGGTGTTCACTCAAGTATGTATTGAGTTTCTGCCCCATTCTTGTCGCTAGAGATACATCAGGGATAAGACATGTGTCCTCATGGGGGGACCTTGGAGAGAAACCTGCACAGATAAACTAATCAGTGACATGATCAGAGGTGGAAGCCAAGAGTGTACCAAAAAAGTAAAATAAAATAATAATAATAAGGTATCTTAAAGCACAATTCAGAAGTGTTAAAAAAAAAAAACTAAAAAAACCCCCTAATTCTCATAAACTAGGGAATGAGCATTTGCTAGTGTTTTCCTTACATCACGAATGAGGGAGCCAGGAAGGTGAGCAGCTGGTTCCGAAGGTCTGAGAAGCTGCTATCCGATGTCAGACGAAAGGAGGCTGAACCAGCTTTGCAAAGATAGAGATAAACCTGGCAGCTAAACAGAGCAAGGAAATCGCAGCCTCGGAGGCGCTTATCTCACAGAACACAGTTGCACCCCCATTTTCTAAAAGCCAACATCGGTCTTTGCAGAGTTGGGAAACCATCTGGGCCCCGCTGGATGGTGAATAATAAGTAATAGTACCGGGAGGAAGGAGATTGCTAATTAGAAAATGCTCTAGCATGACATTAAAAGGTCACACGTCCTTTGCCTTTTCCCCAAGGTGTGGATACATTTTCTGAACATACGGATGGTTTAGCTTTGACGCACCCACCCTCCCCACTGACAGACTGGGTGCTTCTTCCTCCTGAAATCGGGCAGGAAGAGGTTAAAGGGGACGCTGGCGTGATGCCCAAGGGGCATGGGTGAGATGGCGGGACTAATGCTAATTCTAAGAACCATCTCTTATCACTTACCCGACTCTTACTAGATGCCAGGCATGGGTGTCACACATTCCTACGACGCTAATCAAATGTGTGTAAAAATAAAGCTTCTGTATCTCCTCCAATGGACCTAGGTTTTCTTATGCACTGTTGGGACCTCACGGTGGCCGAGGAGAAGGGGACCTTCTCTGCATGGGGTGGCTTCACAGCTGTAGAGTGGCCGACCCTGCCTGGTGCCTGGACCAATGCCCCCTGAGGCAGGACGGGTCCCACCCAGCTTCGGGGCACCCTTCTGGCTTCATGCTGGAGTCCCAGGTCCTGGTCTCTTGCCTCCTGTTGTGAGGTCCCTTCACAGTGTCTTCTTTGTCCCACCCCCCAAGCCACTGCCAGGCCCCACCCCACCCAGCACTTGCGGGACCCCTCATTTCTGAGTCTCCTGCATGGAGAGCCAGGAGCGCTGTGCCAGAGTCCTCCATCTGTCCCCCGCCTGCAGCTGCTGCTGTGACACTGAGGTCCTTCACGTAGGTCTCTGCCCGGGGCTCCAGCCAGGAGCGGGCAATGCCCTCTGCTTTCCCCCCGTCCCCTCCTCCTCCTTCGCAAGGTTCTCCAGGTCCCAGAGGGCACCGCACTCGCCAAGGTGCCGCCACATGCTTCTTCCTGGGCTGGCGCCTGCCTTGTCCCCTCCCTTGAAGCAGACAGCGGAGAGCAGGGAGCACAAAATGGCTTCATGACAAGGGACGGCTCGTCAGGAGTATGTCCTCAGTATTGCCGCGTTTTCCCTTCCATCATCCTTTCATTCTCCGACAGTTCTGGGCAGAGTGCTATCCCTGAGATTGGAGTAGTTAAGCAATGGGTGAGGGACACACAGCTCCTAAGGGACAGGGCTACAGGTCAGGTCCAGGTCTGACGATGCCGGAGCCTAAGCGCGTGCACACCCCACCCTGCCTCCTGAAACGCGGGTTTGTCACATGGGTAGCTCCTGACCTTGGCTCTGGTAATGGGATGGATGCTGTGTGACCTCCGCTGAATCCCGCACCTCTCTGTCCTAGGGCCTTGTCAGTGGGTAGGGTTCCATTCACCAGTGATACTTACAGCGCCCCCACCACCCCCAGCCCCTTGGAGGATGGCGATGAAGTTGATGAAATAATAGTTGGGAGGGAACTTTTACAAAATAAAAGCCCTCTTCAGATTTTGCAGGTAAAAGTCCTCTCCAGATTTAGGTTCCAAGCCATCCCCGATGCTGTCGAGGGTGAGGCACAGCCCCTGTCTGAGACTCAGTTTCCCCATCTGGAAGGGGCCGAGCTCTCCCAGCGACTCTTGTGCTTGTCATGTGTGACCGTGTGGCCTTGGCGGCTGCAGGATCTGTAAAAGCTCAGGCCCCTCGTCTGCCCCTTTGCCACCAGCTCCGCGTCTGCTGTCAACTCCTCTCCTGTGTTTCTAATTTTATTTCTGCTCTCGCCTTCCTGTCCCCCTTGTTTTCCAGATGTTCGTCTGTTTCATTGTTTTGTTTTTCTTCGGAGCATCAGCTCTGGGATTTTGCATATCAGCCCTGTTTCCTCCTTTGCTGTAGGCTGGTTTGGTGGTTGTCTTTGAATTTCGGTTGAACATGGGCCTCGTTTATTTTTCTTCTCTTAACGTCCTCTGCTCTTCAGAAACAATGAACAGGCATTGGAGGGAATAAATAGTTCCTCCCAGTTTTGACCTGTCACATTCCAGCTTTTGTCACTTTAGTCAAGGTCTGCAGTTGTATTTTTAATTTCCTTTCTAATGAGCTTTCACAGTCATCCCCCCTTATCTGCCGGGGAGCCGTCCGAAGACCCCCAGTGGATGCGTGAAACCATAGATTGCACTGAACCCTATATGTGTGTTTGTCCCAACACACACACACTGTCTCACTTAAGGGAGAGCCTTCTGGCTTCCCTTTGGCGTATCCAAGTTGCCAGCTTCACTTTGTACTCTGGGATCGTTATTACGTAAAATAAGGGTGATGTGAACACAAGCACGGCTACTCATGACTAATGGGCAGGCGTGTAGATACACTGGACAAAGGGACGAGTCACATCCCAGGCTGCTGGCTGACCTCCCGTTAGCACAAGCAGGGGCAGATACTGGCCACGGAGCCTTCGCTAAGGAGCACCACCCACTTGGACATGGGGAACCTTGAGTTGTGTATGTTTATTGTTTTACGGTTACTTTCTACTTGTAACTGTAAGTGATACTGGCTCTTTTACAAGCTAAGAGATACAAAGTGTCCTCTCAAAGCGAACATATTATAAAAAAGAGACAACGCAATAACAAGCATTGTCAATAATAATACCCAGATTTAGCAAAATCCACAAAGTCAGCCCTGCTCCGTGTCCGCTCTTTGGTCCTGGAGCCTGTGGAATTTCCTGGAAGCGCCTGCTGTGTGGACAGCACCCTTTCCTGATTTCCCGCAAAGAGACAGATGTTCTCGTGGTTTTGTGTTTCTTCGGGTAATTGCAGCGGGGATTTGGAAGAAGAGAATTGACTATTAATGTGGAGGCATCCAGGCTCCCGTTGTCATCTCTGCTTCTAATCACCTGTCCCCCTATTTTTAGAAGCCTCCTGGGAAGATTTGTGAATGGAGGGGGAAAATGTGATGAAAATTGTACGTTTGGGTTAGGATGTCTCTTTGGGGGTGTGGAATTCTGGGATTTCTGCCCCCCCCGACCCCCACTACTGACTCAAATGCCCGTGGAGTGTCGCTTTTCCTTCCTCACTGTCTTCACATCCTCAGACTAGATGGGAACCTCTTGGTGGCCAGGAAGCGAACTGAGACCGCCATGTTCGTTCTGATAATAGTAATGTCGGTATCGACGATGGTGATGGTGGTGGAGCCTTTTGGCCAACGCTTGCTAAGTGCCCGGCGCTGTGCTCATCATTTTACGTGCGTCATCGTTTCTCGGCTTCACAATAGTCCCAGGAAAAAGAAGCTTTGATTCCAGTCAAAGATGGGAAAAACCAAGACTCAGAGGGACTGGGCAGCTTATCTGAGGTTATACAGGGAGGCGAGCAGAGGCGGGATTCGGACTCAGGCAGCTTGGGCCCAAGGAGGGAGGGAGAGAACTTTGCATCCAATAAGCACAGAATAGACACTGTTTTCTTATGTCCATAGAGTAGTTACAGAAATATGTAGCATAACTGGCTACACACACACGCACGCGCACACACACACAGGGAAAACCCTCAGCACATTTTTTAAAGTAGCGCTTTCCCTGCCCGCTTCTTGTACCCACAGAATAAAAGCAGCCTTGTCACGCCTTTTCTGGCCCTTGTCTCCCTTTAGGTTTAAGCTGCTGAGCCAGGAGGAGGGCGAGTACTTCAACGTGCCGGTGCCGCCGGAGGGAGGTGAGGGCAGTGAGGAGCTACGGCAGAAGTTTGAGGTGAGACGTCTGGCTTTCCGCCTCCGTGGGAACCGGCTGCGGCCGCCTCTGGGCTGTTTTCCCCCTTTACGGTGTGGCTTCTACCAAGGCCTTCCTTTCTGACTCTGTGCCTTTGTAACGTCTGTCTCCCAGCAAACTCCTACTGATCCTTCAAGACCCCAGGTAAATGTTCCCTGCCTTGTGACGTCATTCCTGCTTCCCCGGCCTCATTCAGATTCAGATCTTTCCTCCAAGTGCTCGCTCACTGCCCAGGTCATTTTGCTGGGTGGCGTGGCCTGGGATGGAAGTACTGGCGAGTAAGGAAAGACGTGGACAGGGTAGTGATATGGCCTGGAGGCTGAGTCAGTGAGGTCTGCTGAGGGAGGGATGCAGCCTAGATTTGGACGTACTGGCAGGATGGTGCTGTATGATCCACAAAGGGAATTGATTGTGCTGGTGACTCTGTGAAATACCCGTGGGCATATCTTCCAAAAGCTAAGAGCCCTGACTTTGGCTCTGATCTTGAGCTCTGGTGCCGGCTCTGTCTCTACCTCAGATAAACCCCTTCCCTCCTGTGGGGCCAAAGCAACCCCATATTCATCTACGTGAGAGTAAGCGGTATATAGGACACATCGAATTTTATAAAGAAAATGTTGTGGGGAAGATGGGTTTGAGCACTTCCATTTTATGTGTGCTGAGTGATTTTAAAGTAGTTTCATAAGGGAAAACATGATTTTGTTCCCACAAACTCAATATACCGAGTCTGATGGGAAATCATCAATTCTAGATAAGCAGTGATGGCCTACTAACGCTGGGGGAAAAAATGTAGAAAAGAGCTAAAACGAAACAGATTACTATCATTGTTATTCATTAAAGAATCCCACAAGCAAATAAATGAAAAAATAGGACCAAGGAAAGTTCTGTGCAAGAGAGGTCCACGGTACTGTGAGAACGTAATAAGAGGCAGATGTAACCTTGCCTGAGAGGGCGGGGATGGCGTCCTTGCGGAAAGAACAATGGAAGTTAACCAAGTAAAGAGGAGGAAAGAGCATTTCAATCGGAGGACAGCACGTGCAAGGGCCCTGTGGTGGGGAGTTACGGCAACTGTGTGAGGCTGAAAGAGGGGCATTGTGGGTAGAGCAGAGAGAGCCGAGGGACGGAGGTGGGGATCCACGTAGAAGGATTTTGCCAGTTATTCCCTGCGCCATGTTCATTTCCCCCTGAACTTGACAGAAATAGTACTTGAGTATTGACCCTTGTCATGCCCTGTGCCCTTCATAAAACCTGGACTGTGGTGATGGGTCTGACCCAGCGGGATATCCCTTGCTGGAAATAATTGGGATAAGTAGACATGTTGGTCTTGAGCAAATGAGTGAGCTTGAGTACTGAGCATCTGTCCCCCAGAGCTGGCTCAAGCACAGAGGAGGTGACCAGAGGGTGTTCCCACCCAGCTGAGCTGAGAACTGGACACTGTATGATAAAAATTAGGACAGGAAGGCAGCCCTTCCGGAAAACGGTCTCCATCTCTTTCCCTCAGCTTCCTGATGACGTGTCCGTTTGCTGCCGTGTGACCATGTATCGCTGTGAATGGGGGAGGAAAAAAAAAAAAAAAGCAAAAGGCCAGTATTTTCCAGTATCAAATGAAGTCTCAGTTTTGCAAAATGGTTTCGTCTGTCCCAGGGAAGCTGGAGTAACATTTCAGAACACCAAGATACACGTTTCCTCCCCGAACAGAGCATTTGGGGCCAGTCACCGGCTGAATGTAAAGGACTGTTTTTATTTACATGCAGCAAAACATGTGCCTTTATTTCCAGCAAGAGCCTGCAAATGCTTGTGGATGCCTGAATTGTAATCACTGCACACCATAGTTGTTGATTAAAAAACAATGTTTCCAACAGACGGAACATTGTTCTGAGGTGCACGGAGCAATGTCTGTTGACCTTGAACATGAAAAACGTAATCCCTGTGCCGTAACCAATTAGCACCCAGAATGACTCAGGAATTACTTTCAAGCCTCTTAGCTGGAGAAATTCTGAGTGAGGTAAAGTCGAGCTGCCAGAATGGCGGGGACGGAATTTCATGATAGGCTGAGCTGGGTGCGGTTCCCACACGTGGTACATTTCACGCCATCGGAGCTGGCTTTGTGGGGGCTTCCTCCTGACTGTGGGGCCAAGGAAGGGAAGACACTGCCATGGATGGTTCAGAGTGGGTGTTCGGAGAGTCTTAGAATTTTTTTATTTAATAAAATGCTTACTAAGCACTGTTTATTATTTTAAGTGTTTTAGAAATAGTCGCTCATTTCATTCAACCCTCATGACAACCTGAATGGTACAGGTCAGTCTGGCTATCATCCTGTTGTCTTTTATCGATGAGCCAACTCAGGCCCAGCGAGGTTAGGCCACCCTCTAACATCCCACAGCTGGCCATCACCCTGCTTTGAGTTTCCCCAGAAACAGACTGTAAGGGTTCAAGTGCACTTAGTTTCTTTGGGAGGTGATGCCAGATTTACAGTCATCCCTCATCCTCAGGGGACACATTCGAAGACCCCCAGTGGGTGCCTGAAACCACGGATAGCACCAAACCCTGTTTTTTCCTGTACATACATACACTTTTACGGCTTCTCGTTGGCATGTCCAAATTGCCAGCATCACTCCTTGTGCTTTGGGGCCATCATTCAGTAAAATCAGGGTGACGTGAACACAGGCACTGCGATACTGTGACAGTCACTCTGATAACCAGGACAGCTGCCAAATGACTAATGGGAGGGGCATGTACAGTGTGGAAATAGGGATAGAGGGTGGTTTATGTCCTGGAAGGGACGGCGAGAGATTTCATCTTGCTACTCAGAACAGCGTGCGATTTAAAACTTAGGAGTTGTTTATTTCTGGAGTTTTCCTTGTAATATTTTCGAACCACGGTTGGCTGCAGGTAACCGAAACTTTGGCAAGTGAAACCGTGGATAAGGGTGACTCCTATATTTCTTGAAAGGAAGCTGGGGATTGAGCTTTTATAGGAATCTCCTGATTTTCAATGGCTGTCAACTTACTGAAACATTCAAACGCCCCTACCACCGGGAGGACCATCAGATGTCTGTTCTAGGGTCTGGAAGCTGAGATGACATTCTATCTTAGTCTGTTCAGGTTGCTATAAAAATACCATTGACCAGGGGGCTTAAACAACCAACATTTATTTTCTCACAATTCTGGAGGCTGAGAAATTGGCAATCACAGTGCCTACAGATTCAGTGTCTGGTGAGGGCTTCCTGGTTCAAGGGCCGAAGGAGCGCTCGGGGGGCTCTGTTATAAGGGCCCCTACCCATTCACAACCTAATCCCCTCCAAAGGCCCCCATCTCCAAATACCATTGCACTGGGGTTAAGATTTCAGCATGTGGACTTTGGGGGTATGCAAACATTACGGATCTATGGCATATACCTATGAGGAAAGCCACCACAGCAAATGAAGTGGGATTTGGAAGAGGACTTTGGGGCCCGATTCAGAGGAAAGACCCAGAGATGGAGCTAGTGGCCACTTGTTCCTCCTTGAAGGACAGGGGGAAAACTTCCCCCCAGTAACATAATGTTAGACTGGGGAGTCTAAGCTCCTCACCTTACTGCATTTGCAGGGTGTGTTGGGACCTAAGATGGGGAGATGGGCTGGAATGGGGACCAGGGACCAGGGACAGCCCGTACTGGGACCTTCCCAGGTTGGACAATGGGGTGTGAGGATGGAATGGGTCTTAAGTTGGGGTTCAAAGAATGCAGGAGACATAGTAATAAAGCACAGAGACGTTAGGGTGGGGAAGAGAATATGTTTGAGTCAGGACAACCTGGGAAAAACTTGGGGGGCCAGAGAGTGAGGCTTTGGGACGATCGGAGGACATGGCCTCCAAAACAGTGCAACTTCTGTTCTAGGCTTTTCTCTCGTTTGCGTTCTCCGTGATGATGTCACGGTTTTAACTACCTCCTCGGTACTGGTAGCCCCCAGACCTCTGTCTCCGGTTCATGAATCATTTCTTAACCCCAAACCCATATACACAGTTGGTTACTGGGTACTTACACGTGGAGGTCCCAGGGACACTTAACTCCCAACCTACCTTATCTTACTATGAAATAACTTGACCAGGCATGTTCAGGCAGGCTTGTTCGTACCCCCAAAGTGGAGGCAACACACATGCCCATGAAGAGGAGAATGGGCAGACAGAAACCGTGACTGTGACTCGGCCGTGCACAGGGACGGACTCCTATGCACACAGCTACGGGGTAAATTCCAGCAACATCACAGTGAGTGAGAGAGGCGAGATACGGGCGGCTGACTCCGTCCCTCACGAGGGACCACGCAGCCCTCCCACTCTCCACAGACACCAGCTGGGGGGCCTCCAGTTTAATTCACCGCTGACACCAAGTGCCTGGAGTTAGCAGGGACCCCACAGGTGAAGGGCTCCACCCCACAGGACCGTCCCCACTCGAGACTCCCGGCCGGTGGGTCCTACTTACCCACACAGTAGTCTGACATGGCTGCCAGTCAGGGGTTTCTGTGGTCCCCTCCGTGGACTCGATAGTTTGCGGTGATGGCTCACACAACTCAGGGAAATACTTTGTTTCCCAGCTTGTTATGTACAATAGCAAAGGACTGTGACAAAAGACATGGATGACTAGATAAGTGGAGAGACACACAGGGAGAGAACCAGGAGGGTCCTGAGTGCAGGAGCGCCTGTCCCCGTGGAGGTGGGGTGCACCTTCCTCCCAGTAGGTGGATGTGTTTACCGCCCCCCAGAAGCTCCCTGAACCCCGTAGTTCAGGGAATTTTGTGGAGGCTTCATCATTGTAGGTGCGATCAATTATTCACTTGTTCTCCAGCCCTCGGGGTAGGGCTGCAAGTTCCAAGCTTCCAATCCCGGTTCAATCCTTCTGGTGAGCAGCCCCCATCCAGGGGCCATTCAGGAGCCCACCCAGAGCCGCCTCAATAGGACAAAAGATGCCCCTAGACACGTCCTGCCCCAGGGCCTTTGCACGCGCTGCCTCCTGCACCTGGAACGCCCTCCCTCTGTGCCCACCAGGAAACAGCCCTCAGCAATCTCCATCCATCCCCCTGATTTACCTTATTTTTCTCCATTCCCCTTATCACTGCCGTACAATCCAGGTCCTTACTTGTTTCTTAACCTGTTGTCTTCCTGCTGGAACACAAGCTCCATGAGGGCCAAGATTTGTCTGTTTCGTTCTCCTCCACTGCTTCCCCGGGGCCTGTGCCCGGCACAGAGAGGCACGTCGGATGGGATGTTTGGGGCAGAGGGGTGTCATGCGCTCAGGGCCACACAGCTTGTCCCTGCCAGAGTCAGGACTCCAGCCCGAGCTTTTAGCTCCGTGGTTTTCTTGCTCCAGTAACAAGACCCTGCTGGCCTCCTGTCCTCCTCCTCCCCTAGCATTCGCTGCCACCTGAGTCACCATCCTGCTGCTCACAGCAGCGGGTCCCTCCCATACTGCGCTGAGGACCAACGTGGGGCCGCGCCCATCCATTTAGCTATTTAGCCAGAAACTATATCAGTTGTCAGGGAGATGGTGGAGAAGGAGGTCTGTAGCCTGTGCCCTCGCAGTCTCCAGTGCGTTGAAGGGAAGCAAGTCACCAATCGCTGTCCAGCACACACGAGAAGCGAGATGGATGTAGGGAAGCAGATGGGGACACCTCGTCCTGACACAGGGACTCAGGGAGGGCTTCCCTGAGGAAGTGACAGTGAGGGTAACTAGGCAAAGGGGAGAGAATAGCCATCCCCACAGCAGCCAGCGAGATCACGTGCAAAGGCCCCGAGGTGGGAGGGGAAAGACTGGAGCTGGGTTGACGGGAAGGAGGACCCGAGACATGATGGGGTGGGAGAGCCAGGTAGGGCCTGGTCGTGCTGGGCCTCACAGGCCACTGAGAGCCCTGAGTCTTTCTGTCCAAAAATTAATGGGTCACCACCGACGTGTTTTAATCACGCGGTGACTCGGTTGGGTGTAAGAAAGCAGGAGTTTCCTCTGGCTGTGTGGGGAGCCCAGTGTGGAGGGAGCCGAGGTGGGTTGTCCACGTGAGAGGTGATGCCAGCTGGTGTTGGTGGGGATAGAAAGCTGTATTCCGGAGGCCACTCGGAGGAAGAAAGGACATTCCAAGTGGTGGGTGACACATGAGGGAGCCAAGAGAAAGGGAGGTGCCAAGGATGGCTTCCAGGTTTCCATCTAGAGAGCGCAGGTTGGCCGTATTTTTCTCCGGGTTGGGGGGCGGGGGCGTGCACTGCAGGAACCCCAACTTGCTGCTGTTCACGTGTCTTCCTACAAGGGCACCCTTACACCCTAATGACGCTCCCGTGTGCTTCCCCCTCCAGCGGGCCAAGATCGGTCAGGGGACCAAGGCTCCGGAGGAGAAGACAACTAACACCATATCCAAATCGGACACCAATGGGAACAGAGACCGGATGAAGCTGACGGATTTTAACTTCCTCATGGTGCTTGGGAAAGGCAGCTTTGGCAAGGTACGGTCTGGCGTGGATGCGGTGCTGCAGAAAGGACAGCTCTTGAGGCAGGCATGTTTGCTGGTTGTAGGAGGTTTATATGCCAGGGAGGGGGTGAGTGAAAAGCAAATAGATGTACACCACACATCGCCGTGGGCCCCAGGAGGGAAGTGGATAGACTGCCGTGCCACGAACAAGCCAAGAGGGGACCCACTCAGGCTCTCAGAGGAGGTGTGACATGTAAATTGAGACGTGAAGGAGGCGGGTGAACCAGCCTTGCATTCAAAGAGCTAGGAGAGAATGTTCCAAGCAGAATGAACAGCGCGTGCAAAGGTCCTGGGGCACAGAAGGGCTTGTTGGCGCGTTTTAAGGACCATCAGAAGGTGTCAGGGCCAAAGGTTATCCGCAGGGGGAGGTCGTAGGATGTGAGGTTGCAGAGACGGCAGCCTCCAATCATGCAAAGCCGTTGGAGCTGTTATTTGATGAGGAACCTGGAGTTGTGTCATGGTGTGATAGGGAGCCGTCGAAAGTTTCTAAGCAGAGAAGTGGCACGATCGGATTTGCGTTTTGGAAATGATCTCTCTCGCAGCCAAGAGTGTAAACAGTTCCTTTTCATAGAGCAGCACAGCTGAAGAGCGACCCTGGGACTCGTAGAGGGGTCCTGGGTGCTTTTACAGACGCCGGGAGACGCCGTTTTACTGAAGTTGAGATTGTGTTAGAAGTATTCCTGACTCGTTTGATGCTGTCTTGAGCCTCTGAATCCCTTCGGGTGCCACGCATGTGTTTAGTGTAAATCGCATACCGTGGGCTCAGGTGTGCAGAGCACGTAAATGTCACCCTGATGTCTGTAGCTTACGTAAGAATCTGGGAGTCATCCCTCAGTACTCGTGTCCCCGGGCCCCAGCGCGTCATCGATGGGTGAGTCCCAGCACCACCTTCTCCAAAGCATGCCAGGAGTTGGCTGCCTCCCCCATCTAACTAACTAACACAATCCTCCTGTATACCATAGCTGCCACCCAGACCACTGCAGAAGCTTCTCACTGGTTTCCCTGCTTCCACACTTGTGACCTAGAATCACTATTCCTTTCATGGGGCAGCCACAGTCACTTTTAAAATCCTACCCTAGGTCCCGGCACTCCCCTGCTTAAAACCCGTAATGAGGTCTCTTCACAATTAGAATAAATTCTCTCCTACATCCCTGGTGTACCATCTGACCCTTGTTCACTGCTTGATGACGTCTTTTTCTTCTCTCTGTCCCCTGCTGTGCTCGGGCCACAATGGTCGTTCTTGGGTTTTTAAATGCGCTAGGCTCCTTTCCGCCCTTAAACCTTGTGTGATGCTGTTCCCTTCGGTCTTTGCATGGCTGGCTCCTTCTGGTAGTTCCCGTAGAAATTTAAATGTCGCCTCTTCCGAGAAGCCTTCCCTGACCACCCCCTCAAGTGGGGCCGCTCATTCATTCTCCATGATAGCAGACTGCCTCGTAGCCCCCATCCCCAGGGGACAGTTTGCCCCTCTTCTCCCGCTAAGATCTGACCTCCACGGGAGCGGGGACCTTTTCTGTCGTGCTCACCACTGTACTCCCCAGGCCTAGACTGAATGTGTAGGTTTTCTCTGTGGGTCACAGGCCATCTGCTGAGACTGGGTAAGGGACCTGAGGTGGTGGCCCAGGGTCTGATGAGCCTGGAATGGGAACAGAGAACAGGGACATGCAGTGAGTAGCTGAGCAGTCCGAGTGCCAGGTCAGCAGTTGGTAATGGTAGGGTCCACGCCCTGGCATGCTTTTCGCCAGCAGCTCGGAGCAGCCTGCACATGGAGATGGGAAGTGGATGGCGAATGGGGCTGAGGACCAGGGAACCAGATTACAGTGATAGGGAGTGAGGGATTCTGGGGCGGGGGGCGGTACCCACTGCAGAGCCAACGGGGGCCTGCTTCTAGGGCGCTCGGTAGAGCCCTACCAAGTAAATGCATACAAGCGGGGGCATCTAGACTGGGCTGGAAGGGAGTCCACGCAGGAAGAGTGTCGGAACCCAGGTAGGAAAGGAGCTTAGGGTTCTAGGGATGGAAAATAAATGGGATGAGGTCAAGAGATTTAAAACTCTGGGAAGAAGAGAGGGGTGTAGACCCCAAAGCGGGGGGTGGTTTCCATGATGACGGAGAAGAACGTGGCCTCAATGAAGTTTCCAATACGCTGGGGCTGCTGGGGAGTTTTAAACAATTACATTTTTAATAAGCAATATACTCACATGGTTTGTAATTAAAATTATGTTTAAAGGATAAATATGGAGAGCTGTTTGCCCCCCACCCCAAGGTCACCTGCGCCCTGGCCTTTGTTCATTTAATTTGCATCTTTCCAGTGTCACCGTGCTAATTTAACAAGTGTAAATTTGCATTTTTATTCTGGGCCTTGTTACCTCAAAAGTTAGCGTAGTCTGAATATCCTTCACCTTTTTGAGCACTTGCCAATGTAGGTTGGAGAGTTTTTGACTGAGTGATGGAAGCTGGGTGGGGGGGCACGCTTTAAGGAAAGGAAAAGGGTGGGGAACAACAGGGGTCATTGGGGAGCAGTGAGGGAATGAGAGAATAGATCATGCTTCCATGGAAACGGTTAGAATAATTGAGAGCTCTGTCCCAGGCTGGGGGATGTGGCATCAAATAAATCACAGATGAAAATAATAGTGTGCCACGAAAGCCACGAGGACAGTCAGAACCGCTGTGATCCTTAGAAACACAGTACCCTTTGCCACTCTAGTTTCGCCAGCCATGGTTTTCGGTCACTGTGGCTTTATATTTGAATGCCTGCTTTTGCCACTTTGCACTCTTGTTGGGCAGATAGGTCAATCCCCTTAACCGGTCATTGCTGTCCCCCTTGCAAAGGTGGGAGGGACCGACCTTCGGGGTGACCTGTTTACACCTCTGCTCCCCCTGCCCGCAGCCTCATCGGATCTGGCCCCGAAACAGGCTTGAGCAGTGGTAATAATCTGTAGGGTTGACACGGAAGTGATACAAGCATTTTGCTGAAGGTCTAAGGGAGGAAGGGGCTTGGCTGTTTAAAAAACCCAAAAGTGAAAATGTTAACAGGGGGAAAGCAAGTGTGAAGGCCCCTGAGTTCCCAAGGAGGAAGCCCCGTTTCAGAAACTCTACAGGACAGTTTGGAGGGTTTGCTCTCCCGGGCAGGTGGGAGGGGGAGCATGCCTCGCTTACGTGGAGATAGATGCGTTTAGAGCTTTTGTTCCCGGGTACTCAGAGGCACTGTCCACTTAGAGCTGAAGGGTTCTGTCTGCACTTGGACCCTTCACTCTGCTCTTATTGGTCTGTGAGCCTTTGACCCCAGCTGCGCCGAGCACGACACTTCTTAGGCGTTGAACCTCTGTGGCTGTCGAGCGGTGTTGGAGTTCAGATGGTGTCCAGATGGATGAAGTGGGCAGAGGTGGGCTGGGTGGACTGCTTGTTCGAATCCACGGCGAGGACCCAATGGCGTAGACACAGCACAGGCACATCCCGCCCTGTATGAACTCCGGTCCTCAAAACCGGGCGTGCTGCCTACCAAACACCCCTTGACTAATGAATGCGGACACCACTTCCCTTCTGAGACTTCAGATGTGCTTCTTGGGATGGCTGGTGTGATCTAAGTCTCTTTAAAAGTCATACTGGGGGCTTGAATGGGGCCTTTCTTATTCTCTTGGACCCCTGAGTCTTGCCTGTGGGAGGTGCTGTGCTCATGGGGAGGGGGCAATGCAGGGGTGGGGGTGGGAGGCATGTGCCTGCTTAGGCGGACACGGATCTAACACGGGGAAGTTCAAATCCAGCAACACCAGTGTTCGTGTAAAAGTTCTATCACGGAGAATGATGGGTAACAGAAAAAAAATGATGATTGCCCAAGTGTCCATCAGTAGTCAGAAGTTAAATATACAGTGGTGTATCCAAGATGCATTCAAAAGAATGAGGTCTCTCTCTGCCCTCTCTCATGTCTGTCTATTATCTGTGTATCTATCTACCTATCATCTATTTATCTATCTATTTATCTATCATCTACCTATCTACCTATTAGTCAATCTACCAATCATCTATCATCTACCTATCTACCTGTCATCTATCTATCTATCTATCTATCTATCTATCTATCTATCTATCTATCTATCTATCAATCATCTATATATCTGTCTATCATCATGTGAGGATGTCCATGACATCGACTAAAAAATAGAAGCAACCCCAGAACATTATGCTTAGTAATATAATGTAATATATATAAATATAATTTATATTATATATAAATATATAATATAAAATAAACTGCACTTAGACTAAGTCTCTTTATGTAATGTAGTCATGGCCCCTACTTTCATTGAACTTGCCCCCCCAATGTTTTAGTATGAAAATGTTTGAATTCCAGAAAAGTTGAAAGAGTTATACAGTGAGCATCTATAATGCCCGTTACCTAGATTCTCCACTTAAGTGGGCTGTCTCTGCTTCCTCACATATCTGTCCCCCTGTCTCCACACCAGCCCATTTTTTAATGCATTTCAAAGCGAGTTGCAGACATTGGTACCCTTTACTCCTAAACTCTTCATCTGTGTCATTGAACCAGAATTCAATCTTTGTTTTTGATCATTTTTAAGGTAAAATTGACATACAGTGAAGTACCCAAGTGAGGGTATCAGCCTGAGTTTTGAAAACTGCACACTTTAAAACCAGTGGGGATAGACGCATTAATCAAAAAGTCACGCTCACAGAGGTAAAGCGTAACTGAGTTTCCCGTGTGCTGTGAGAGCCCGTGGGCGTGGGAGTGGCTCTCCCTGAAGGCAGGGAAGCCTTCCGTGACAAAGTGACTCTTGAGCTACATCTAAAGGATGAGTTAAGCTAACGACGCAGGAGGGAAGGGAGTCAAATGAAAATCTCAGAATGTCTTCTCTAGCTAACCCCACCCCCAGCCAGCCGCGGTCCATCTGAGTGGCGGGCAGAGCACCTGAGCTCCTTTGCTAGTCGGGGTGGGTTCAGCTGCTGTAACCAAGAAGTCCCCC